GGTTTCTCTGAGTTTCTTTCCTTTATGTTGTCTTTGTCCCACCCACTGTGAGTCTTTCTTGTCACAAGTAGTGTCCAGGGCCCTCCGTCAGTTGTGAAATCACAAAGCGTTTTGATCTCATGCTGTCCAAGAGGTTTGATTGTGAATACACCATCTAGAAAAAAAAAAAGGAAGATTGAGGGAAAGCTTTCTGCAAGGGTCATATTTTGCAAAATAACTATCCACGTTACGGTGCCTGAAATTCATTCAATTTCACGTAAATTTTTATCAACCAGGGAATGTGAGTTAACCAACCTGACAATGGGTTTGACGAAAGCCCTCTGAGGTAAACTTCTTTGCAAGAGCTAGGAACTTTGTAAGGTCCCTCTCTCATCCAGTACCAGATATATGATGGCTGACGCTCCATCAGATGACCGCTGATCCAAGGAGCGGGGTGATAGTCTTTATCATCGGCTGAAACATGACACAAATAGAAAGGGAAATTACATTAATTTTTAATTGGTTCGTATTTCATCAGGTTTTCAGGTCACTTCACGTCATGGTAATTTTTTCATACCTGTTGATTCGCCCCCTTTACAGAGTTGGATACCTCATCTACCCCAACATAGAAATGGCTTCGCTAACTTTAGACAAGTGGTGCATGGGCATCTCGGTATGTGGGCAAAAAAGGGATTATCTATGAAAGTTAGTTTTTCATGACATGCACCTGTTATTGTTCCTACCCATTTGTATAAAGCACTTTCTGAGGTTGTTAGCCTTGCTCCGGAAATCCATGGCATTCTTTGTTCAATTCCATTATTTGCATATTCCCAATTGTCAAATTTCTTGACCAGCTCAACTCCTGTTTGTTTGTTGTCCTGAGCTGTGAAAGTATAACTTCTTGGTGCTTCCCATATACCTCCCCACCGGTCTGAAAAATATAAATTCAAATCATAGCAGTCTGTTATCACTAAGCCAAGTTGTAGTCGCTCTTGCTAACTATTGTATTCATTTGCCTTATTTTATTTATTTGAAGCTTGCATTACTCGGGTAAACTGTGAATTTCGAAATTTTATTTTATCTTTAATTTCCTTTTTTTCTTTGCACAAATTGCAAAAACGCAGTTCTGTATGAAAAACGAAAGCCAAACGCAATCAAGTGTTCATAAGCAACCATATATTTCTCTGCCGCACTCCAACGTAACCAGGATCCGTAATATTTACTTTTAACATTCCTGTAACAACCACGTCTTTACAACAACTTTATTTTAGTAGTGTAGCACGTCTATATGCCGCTTCCCGCGGAGCCTGGGTCCGAGTTAGTAAATAAATTAAAACTACACTTTTACTTATTCAAAACTCAACTTAAAATCTCATTAGTTTACATTTAAAAGTAATTCTTCTCTAACTGTGTTATATATGACCACAAAAGGGGAAGATACAAACTTAAGAGCTACCTTCAGCGAGTACTTGAAATGAACAGGCCTATTTTACATTACCTGAACTTTGCGCCTCTAGTCGATACTCAAACTTTGATCCAGCTACGTTGATATTATTCTTGATGCTATCTGCATACTGCAGGATGGAGTAATCATCAGTCAACTTTGGAGAGTTCGTGTTTTTTAATCTGACATTATCTGCCGTCCAGCCGTTAGTGTGACTAGTGACAAATAGCGTCTATCCTCCGCCGTCACGTGACATATTACAATATGTTATAATAGGCTGAGAGCCTGTGGGGTAAATCTTGTACACACCATCAGGATAGTTCTTCCCCTGTTCCTCCCCGAACTGCTTTAAGTGGTAACATGAAATTACCTCTGAAAGAAGACAAATAAAAGGAAGTAGTATTAACTTTACGGCACCACTTTCACTTTCTGTATGTAAAAAAAAAAAAAAAACTGCTAGGATGTAACATAAGCGTGGAAGGTCAGAGCAGGACGCCGATTCAGTCACTTTAAACCACTCTTTAGATCTTATTGGTAGATACTATGTCAGTGGTTATCATGGTGATTTTCGACTCGAATGGCTTATGTATTTCATGAGTACTGATTTACAGCGTACAAAGGTCCTAATTCTTCAGTCCCTTGAGGTTCTAGAGGAACGGTNCGATTTGGGAGGGAGCCTGGGGCGAGCGAAAGTGGTCATGTTCTGGAAAAATTGTCGAGTTTAATTGGTGAACTCGGGAATTTTTCGAGGTATGTTTTAGGTCCGTTTTTTAGGAAAGAAATAAAAAGAGAAAGAGAGAAGGAGAGAGAGGGAGAAAGAAAGAAGGAGAGAAAGAAAGAGAGAAAGAATGAAAGACCATATGCTGGTCGAACTGCAAATTTCCTAAAATTCCAAAGATTACGTGGTTCGCGCCATACGAAAAAGACAAGAAAGAAAAAAACAAGAAAATAGCAAGATCAATGAAAGTTCTTATCAGATAAAGCAAAAATTATAGTCTGCCTTTCGTAGGCATTCCATCTTTGTTAAAAAAAAAAGCTAAAAGAAAAAGTTGCGAACGAGAAATAGCCCGGCAGCGAAACTGGATTTTTGGGCGGTCACTAACACTTCGCCTTTTTTTTCTTTTTTCCACAGTTAGGTATATTTGAGTGATTCAGCTTTCTTTGAGTTTTCGTTCAGCTTTCTTTGAGTTTTCGTTCATCTTTCTTTCCTTCGTTTATCATTAACACAGTACTTTTCATTTTATAGTTTAACACCTAAAAGAAGTCGTGAAGCTCTATTTCATGTTATCATTATTATTTCTTTCGTGGCGCAGATTAAAAACAACGTTGGGGTTTAGCTTTAATAGCATTAGTTAGTATAACGTAATGTGTTTGCAGATCTGTTTTCTTTTCTCTTAAATCTTTAGGTTATAGCAGCATCCTTTTCCGATCGCGTGTCGCTAAAGTGCTTTCTACAAGAACCTTCTACAGGCCTCCAACCCACGGTAAGTTCTTCTACAAGCTCCAAGCAATCTTGGACGATCTTTGGTTGAAAATATTCAACGTTATGATCATGGGTGACTTTGACTCCAAAATCAAGACAAGTATAGGGGAGCGCTTGTTAAAAGTGGCTAGACATTTTGGTTTAGAGAATGTGATTGAAGAACCGAGTAGGATTACGGAATCTTCAAACACAACCATTGACCTAATCTTTACATCCAATAAATCCAAGGTGAAAGTAAAGTAAAGGTTCGCACCAATGGACTGAAGTGGATGAATAGCAATATCATCAAGGAGATGAATAGGAGATATGTCTTGTTAAGAAAAGTTCAAAGGAACCCAAGTGATACAGATGCATGGAAACGGTATAGCAAAAAACGTAATCTTGTAACTAAGATCACGAGAGAAGCTGAAGCTGAATATTGGAAAGTTAAATTTTAAAGTGCAAAGAGCTCAGGTGACTTTTGGAGGTTGGTACGCCGGTGAAATGCATGGCAAATCAAAAGGCAATGTGAGTGCAATTAAAAATGAGGATGGAATTATTACAATAAATTTTAAACACAAGGCTGACAGTTTCAATGACTTCTTCTCTAAAGTTGGTGAGAGGCTTGCAAATGATATTCTAACAGATACCAGTGGTAATGAACATCAGCACATTTACCAAATTACACCTACTATTGAGCCAGTACAACTTAATGTCCACAAGATTAAAAGGGTAGTAGAGTACAGTGTGATATAGACAGATAGACTGACTGACTCGTGCAGTTTTGTAGCATGAAGTAATGCACAATAAGTAATGTTCTTGAAATTCATTCAATTTTGTGCCATTACATTTAAGCTGGGGTTGTAGAAGAGGATATGAGTTCCTTAGGAGTTCTGGATCTGAATACTCGAGGTATGTTGGAAATATTGTCAATAATTCAATAATATTTTCAATAATTTATGAGTTCCTTAGGAGTTCTGGATCTGAATAATCAAGGTATGTTGGAATTATTGTCAATAATTTAATGCAATTACATGCAGGGCTCTCCCTGGATGATGACATTAGATAAATTTCCACCAGATACAAAACAATATTCATGCCAAAAGTAGCATTTGAACCTAAAATAGAAAGCTTAACCTTGCTTATACCCTATGTAGTTGTCTGATTCATATTTCAAACTACAGCAAGAGTTGGGGAATGGAAACAAAACAAAAAAAAAACAACAACCCTTAGAAGATTTTGGCACAGGTCCTTAATGGTGACAGTTCAATTGAACACCGTTACTATTTGTAAATAATAATATTGCATAAAACAAATAACAAAAGTGCTAGAAATCTGGAATTGGAGTCTAAAATATACTTGTTATTTCAAGAAGGAAAATGGAAGAAGAGTTTGGAAAAAACCCAACCCTTAGAAGATTTTGACACAGATGTCCTTAAAGGATGACAGTTTGATTGAATACCACTACTATTTGTAGACCACAATATAATAATTTTGTAGTGCAATGGAGTGTGGACAGAGCATGGGATGTGCTTTACTGTGAACAAGTGCTGATGGAGGTGGCATCAGCCCATGAGGATATTCTCCTACCAATCTTTTTGAACTTAACATATGAGGAGGTTTGTGTTAAATAGCGATGTTATGTTTGCCCGGATGGCTTGCAATTTTCAAGGAAACTGTTGTAAATAAATACAGTTAGCATGCCTAGGTGTCAATGTGTTGAGTTAATGAGAAGTAAAATATATTAGCAGTCACATTTGAAATAAAAATAGCCTGTAAACTTTTGTGAAGCCACATTTGTCATATGTCAATTTCACTTGCTGAGGAACAGACCCATTTGGAAAAGTATACTACAGTTACTGTCTGTCAACTTTAATTTCTCTAGGTGACATATAGTCCTAATGCATGCATTGCAACAATGCACTGTGTTGCATCATAACACCAAAAGAAATAACATTAAATCTAACTCTACTTTAATTTATAAATTTGTGTATCTAGATGTGTCACCAGGCCAGGTCTGACCAGAGAAGCATGGTTACAGTGATCCTACAAGAAGGTGACAACATACCTGATGTGATAAGGTGACTATCAATAGTTAATAAAAGGTTATTTTTATCTCTAAAAGCAGGCTGCACTCTGCAGAAACAGCTTCTGATTACACTAAGTCACAGCGACAAAATAAGTTAACCGCCTCCCGGTTAGCTCAATTGGTTAGAGCGCCGGATTGTGATGTGCGGGAGGTCGAGGGTTCGAGCCCCGGCCGGACCAATACTCATGGTCTTAAAATAAGCGAGGAGAATTAGCTACCTTTCTATAATGAAGAAATGAATAGATATTCTAGTCTTCTCGGATAAGGACGAATCAACCGTGGGCCCCGTCTTCTGCAGGGTTAGGGGTAGGAGACGTTAATTTCCCATTCACGAGATTACAGTGTGGTGGATGTCCTCCCCTGGGTTGGATGGGTGGCTGTTGGCCTTGAAAAGCCCCTATGGGGAGTGGTCAATTAATGTATGTATGTATGTAAGTAGGTTAATATCATAGTTCATAATAGTTAATTTTCCTTAGTGAGAGACATATGCATGAACCGTGCCTTAAAACTTTTCTGTGTATATAACTTAAAAACACATGAGGAGACATCAAAAGTTACCATGGTGACCTGGTGCAATGTGTACCCACATGACAATTTTTTGTACATATAAGGTTACTCCAACTGACTGGTTTCTGTGTTTTCAAACATACATTACATTATAATTTGAAATATAAACATCACTCACAAACATCACAAAGGTATTCAAGATTTTTAATATCCACTGTATGATGCATGCATACTATACTTCACATTAAGTAGTAATTAATTTAGTAATCAAAAATGTTATCTCTCTATTAAATCATCAGGATTCTGAATATTCTACATGGAATCAATCATGGAAACTTATACTTTTGGATAACAAAAGAAAAATCCAGATCTGGGAGAGAAGGTATTGAATTACTATCCGTATTTTGGATGTTTACTAAGATACGAGACAGACTGAATTAACAAAAGGTCAAAGCTAAAAAAGTTTCCTTAGTCTTAATGGCTAAACATCAATATTGTAATGCAATTCTCACACTTTACTAATATTTAAAAATGGATACATCTGAAGTACTGATATTGTGTACTGTAAAGAGTGTGTGCATAGATATGTTTCTTCAATATTAAGGGATGTTGACATCTCCTGTTCCCTTCCAGGATGTACTTATAATAGTGTTTTACTTTCTGCAGTACTGAGCAAACCAAAATATCCTGTTATCTTCTAGTCTATGTTGTGTTCCATTATGCTATATTTAGTGCCCCATAACAATCTCATCCACAATACTAGGTGAAGAATACAAATATTATATATTAAACAAATAACTACCAAAAAATGAAAAAAACAATGTAAAGAATAAAAATGAAGTACCTTCAAATAAAACTGAACATGTATGAAAAGCAGACCCAGTCTTAGCAAAGGTAATGCAACCCAACATGAAAATTGCAGGTAATCTGTCTTGCTCAGTGATAATAAGCTGAAAATAAGGACAAACATTAGGACTTGATGATGTTCCTAAAAACAGAGATAACATCTTTCTTTAACCTATTGACGTCCGGTGCACTCGTATGCGCCCATGGGGACCCAGACCCTTTCTACACCTTTTGACGTCATCACTTTTAACCCTTGAGCATGACTTTGAGCACGTACTTGAACAGGTTGAGAATATCTTACAAATGATACCAGAATGAGCGCAATTGAGTGAAGGAGATTGGAGAAATAGCCAAAAACCCACGTAACTTTGACCTGAAAATCTGCACGAAAATCATGTTCCATTACCCGCCTACCTTTCTGAGCATGTGCTTTGAAAATAATGAGTAGTTTCCTAAAAAATCTCTACACCAAAATGAAGCCTACTAAATCTCCAGCAAGTGAGGAGAAACTTCAGGCATGGAGAGGGGGAACAAAGGGCAGGACAAAGAGAGAAAAGTAAAAGTCGTAAGTGGGGCATTACTTTTCAACCCAAAAACTCGAAATTTCTTTGCGTGCCCGAGATTTTCAGGCCGCCATTTTGCATTTGGATCGAAAGGCCGTCGAGTGTACGAGCTGTCAAGGGGTTTTTGGTAAGTTTGAGCCTTTAAAACCACAACAGTGACCCGATATCTGCTCGACTAGCTTCAAAACACAGTTTTCCACAAAAGCTGCGGCCATTAATGGGTTAAAAAATTTCAGAAGAATGCCAAAAATCAACACTGGTCATATGTTAAGTTATGTGTTGAGGGCTTATTAATTTCATATTTGTTACCTGATAAACAATGAGAGTCGCCATACAATTCTGTAATTTACTGGATAAATCATCATCACCTGTATTGCTTGAGCAATTATAGTAAAATATAGGTATATTAAATTGTGTATTTTTACATACTGAGACTAGTTCTCCTCCTGACAGATGAAGATTCGAACACAAGCAAAACAAATGAGGTAAGGGAAGTAGTGC